CGTTATATGCTAAATTGCAGCGGGGTAAACAATGTAAATATAGCTAGAACTAAGGAATGCTTGAACATTCTTGCAACAATATTTCGAACTAACGAAGCATAAATTCGTGTAAACGAAATTATCTTACCTTAAATAATAAACGCATGAAAATATATTCGTCTTGAATTTTTAATTTTACTCTTTACTTCGAGTGTCTTTTTTTTTTCTTTTCAAGTGGGTTTTACTTTCCGATCACTTGACGTGCCTATAGTGAAAATCACTTACAAAGAAAGTTTAATGAATTTCGTGTTTAATATAAAACCAAAGTGGATAAGTAAACACTGAGAACAAAACTCTTATACACATTCCTTGTTACAGGACACATACTTTTTTACATTTCTTTGACGACATGAGATTTGTATTTATAGCAAAGCTACTGAGGCTATCTGCCACCGTCTTTCTAATTTTGAACCACTGACTCTAGGGAAGGCATGTCAGTCAGCAACAGCTTATCACCCACCATCTACGTTAATGGATTAACTGCTACTCTTATGTCGCACGGATTCGAAACTGATTCGTCAGCTACGAAATCCAGAGCTTTAATATAGATCTAGCACGTACCCCATTAGATTAGTGAGTGTCAGTTTTTTTACGTATGTATAGGTTGGATTCTTTACAGTAGGTACCTGTGACTTGTTGGCGATAAATTTCAACAATAAACAAATAGTACACAGTCCACTTGTTTTAAAATTATATATTAAACAAGTCAAACGTATATACAAATGTTCGTTAAACTATTGGTTATCATAGTTGTATCTAGAGCTTTAAATAATTATATCTTTTACGTCAATACACACAGACTGGTTCAATTACTTTAGAACACAATTTGACAAGACATGTTATTCTTCTCTGCTCTGTTATGACAATACAATCAGTGATAATTTCACTTTACACCTCGCCACCATAAGCTCTTTATAGCTAAACTTATAATTACTCAATCCAGATCTATATTTTCTCTTTTTAACTATATAACTTTTTCTAACCAACTCGAACTACATTTTGTACGCGTATTTGTAGACTGACAGAGGCCTAGAACGTTCCACAAACTACGCGATATTATGATGCAGTAATACTCAATTCAAACAACGAGAACTACAAGTATCAAGACACAATATACACGTTTCAAATATAAAAAAATATTGGGAAATGAAAGATTCCGAGCAACGTTATATTTTGTGTGATGATTCCAAAGTTAAGGTTTTTAACAACACACACACACACACACACACACATACATACATATATATATATCTTCTTTTATATCAATTTTTCAATTTCTTCAGATGTTTTTAATAAATTATTTCACTTCAAACAGAACTTTCAACATGTAGTTTATTTTGAATTAGCTATTTAAAGTGTACTTTACTTATTTTCGAATATTATATGGTTAGTATTTTACTTTCATTTGCGTTCATGTTAAAATGTATTCAGTTTTGTATGTATTCATAAAGTTATCATAAATTTTATTCTTTCAGTTGTTCTATTCACATTAACTTTAATGATCACTTGATTGGCTAGTTTGTTCCACTGTCATTATCAGTAGCTTTAATATTAAATAAATATAAAGGTTTTGTTATACATTTCTGTCATTATCTTCTTTTATTTTAGATGAATGGGCGATCCTTAGAGCATCATAGTTTTGGCTTGTTTTGAATTTCGCGCAAAGCTACACCAGGGGTATCTGCGCTATCCGTCCCTAATTTAGCAGTGGCAAACTTGAAGGAAGGCAGCTAGTCAACACCACCCAACGTCAATTCTTGGACTACTCCTTCATCTACGAATAGTGGTATTGACCGTCACATTATAACACCTCCACGGCTGAATGGACGAGCATGTTCAATAGTGGGTATGCGAACCCGCGACCCGCAGTCGAGCGCCCCCTAACCACCAAGCCATGTCAGGCCTAGCTTTGGCCTACTATCGTTTTATAGTAAATGGATACACTTAAAACAGGATATGTATCTGTAGAAATACTTTCTTTTTCTGAAATTGTTTCTCTTTGATATCACTATTGTATGTTGTTGTTGTTTTATTAATGCAATGTGCTATCTATGATCTGTTTATCGCAGAGAATCAAACCCCGGAATTTAGCCTTGTAAGTCCGTAAACTTACCGCTGACTCCCCAGGAGACACATTACTGTATGGTTTACAGACTTGCAACACAACATGTGTACTAAGTGTCGTAGTTTTTATGCGTAATTTTTCCTAAACATTTTATATGACGAACACTTACTTTAAAACGTCTCATTTAATATATTACGCTGTGACTAACTTAACTTTTAGTACGCCTAATAAACATTTTCATAAAGTTTAGCTTCATAGACCTATAGCATTCAAAGTAAATAGTATTAATTGCTAACAACTTCCTATAAAACATCTAACCTTTCTTTCTGAGAATTGTGGCATCATGTTCGCTTCAATATGGTTGTTTTTTTTTGTTTTTTTTAGTGTTGGCGTTCAAGGATATAACGAAGTCTAAAAACTTACAAAGAAAAATGCGTAACATTAAATTCCAGAAGCTGCTCTAAAACAAGAAAGAACAAGAAAAAGATTGAAAAGATTATAAATTGCACGATTGCATTTCAAAATTTCGTTCATCAGTGTGTGACACGTATATAAATGAATACATGCTTGTGAATGTACCAGTAAACTGGACTTTTATATAATATATCATAAACAAAGTCCCGGGTATCGCTTCTTAGAGTTAATGAAATTTTTTATTTGTTTTTCGAGAAACTGAAGATTGCGTAAAAAATGAAGTTGTATGAAAACAATATTGTTTCTGATATCTATGTCATCCAGGAAATAACTGCACGATTTAATTGAGATTGGTCTTCCTAAATGTAACATCTTGAATTATGATGTTTATACATCAATAACATTTTAATCAGAAAAGCTGAATAATCAATCCATTCTTATTCTACCATCTGCATCCACACATAAACTTAGTGATGTTTTACGTCAGTTAAGAGTCGGTTCTAAACGTAGTAGAAAATTGTTAATAGTTTAATAATATAATATTGAAAGTGAACACACTTTATCTTGGAAAACAACTTTATTCTATTCAAAATCACGACTTTACAGGTGCGAAACTCTTTGCTCGTAAAATTTTTTAGTTACTTTGAATAACCGCTAAGCTAAATTTCTGTATGTCGGCTGTTCATATGAACTTTCTAAAGACTACACAAATTAATCCAGACGATCAACTAAAATAAAACAATCCATAACATATATAAAATCATAGGCCTTATAGTAAGTGTGCGGAGAGTTTGTAAGAAAATAAAACTATAAACCACTGTAGTTTACATTATTTTTATCAACAAACGATAGGGTTATTGTTTTTCAATGCTTCGCCAGCTTTCGCCATATAAACAGTAGCTTTTAAATTCTTATGTTGCATGTATATATAGCGTTTCAGAAGAGTTTTTGTCTCTCATCATTCAACCTAACTGGTGTGTTCTGGTACTGAACGAAAGGCTTCTTTGGCCGTGACTTGTGAAATACAAAAATAGATCTGCAATGCTAATTTTTACACACCTCTATTTGGGTATCCGAAATGAGGAAATTAAGATTAATATAGAAAACATATCTGCAGTTTACGTGATTTTTCTCACAAATGTTAAGCCTGTTGGTGGAAATAATTAGTTTTACAAGCCTTATTAGTAAATATTTTTGTACATATAAAATATTAGAAATACCTAATGTGCAACAAGCTGAAATCCAACTATACAAGTCTTGCAACGAATGTGCTGGAATATAAATTAAAGTATTTATATAGCTTATTTATCTAATCCCCTAACAAGAAACTTGACATTCAACTTAATAAGAGAAGCCTGAACGTAATATAAAACAACATAAGACACCCATACGTAGGGCTCGTTTAGAATAAAATAATAAACGTGTACGTATAAGAGCCTTAATAAGCTTTTTCTAGCCAAAAATGTATTATTCGTCGGCTTTGCCTAGCTGTACACTTTCTTATAAATCAGCAAAGTTTAACGACATAATATATCAGCATCTGTATTTACGTATTATGACATTATGTCATGTTAAATAATCTTTTCTTTTTTTTCATGTACGTTGAATGATTTCATCTGCCCTCAAAACATAAAATAACAACTGAGAATGTTTAAAAAAACAAAAAACAGTAACTTTTCTGGATCTAGGTGTCTATTTACCCTATCCGGGTAACATAAAGTGTAAAAACTTTAAATTGTCAAGTAATATGCATTTATCAACTAAACATCTAAACCATTAAACATAGAATGTAAATATCATTATGAAACAAAAATTACAGTAAATCAAGTTATTTCCATAAAATTAAACAAATAAAAAATCTGTGAAATATTTCATTCGTCATTACCAAAAGTTCCATGATTATATATATTATATAAGGAGCAGTCAAAAATACAAAGAAATGAACAATCACCGTACTAGTACAGCCAGTTACGAATTACAATATCTGCTTTTTCGTATGGCGAGACTATTTTGATAATTTCTTATTTATCATTGAAATGCCAACATTTATTATAACTTCCAACAGCTACTTGATAATAATAGTGAACTTTCAACAGTTACCTAATAACAATGATGAACTTCCAACAGCTACTTGATAATAACAGTGAACTTCCAACAGCTACTTGATATTAATGGTGAACTTCCAACAGTTACCTAATAACAATGATGAACTTCCAACAGATACATGATAACAACGATGTACTTCCAACAGCTACTTGATAATAATAGTGAACTTCCATTAGGTAACTGTTGGAAGATCATCGTTGTTATCAGGTAACAGTTGGATGTTCATCATTGTCATTAGGTAACTGTTGGAAGTGCTCGTTGTTATCAGGTAACAGTTAGAAGTTCATCATTGTCATAATGTAAATGTTGGAAGTACATCGTTGTTATTAGGTAAGTGTTGGAAGTTCACCATTAATATCAAGTAGCTGTTGACAATGATGAACTTTCAACTGTTACCTGATAACAACGATGAACTTCCAGCAGTTACCAAATGGTATTGATGAACTTCCAATAGTTACCTGATAACAACGATGAATTTCCGACAGTTATTTGTTAACGATGATAAGAAATTAAATCTTTGAAATTAAGAGTTTCATCAAAAACTTCTCAAGATTTATCCATGTACGTCGTATTAATAATAACAAAAATTCTTGAAATAATAGAAACAGCTACATTACTTTAGAAATAGCTGAAATAAAACTGAAAAGTATTCGTACGATAACGAGTTTTTATAGAATTTTTTTCAATCTAATCACCAAAAGTTATGGAATGATCGAACATATATAGACGCAAGTTCAAACTTCAAAGATTTTAATGATATGATTGTTTTCATATTTTCACGTGGAAACGTCATCAAAATGATGAGGATATAAAATTCGTTGCAATTCAAATTTCAGGATAAGAGAGTTCAGTTTCTGGGACTCAAATAATTTAAGCACTTAGAAACTTAGGAACAAGATATAATAAACTAAAAATTGAGTATATAAAAAAAGAAGAAAAATGTGAGGATGGTCATGAATAAGCATCATTAAGCTCAAAGCTTTAAAACAAGTGACTGGTTATGCGTCGTACAAAAGTATACACAACTTGACAGCAATTTATTATAACTTATGTCATAGTCTTAGAAGTGTATTAACATTAAAAGTGATGTCTGTCATGTGTTCTCTTGTCAAGAATAATACACAGTCTCTTATAAATATCCACTTCACTTCCCGTTTCGTTGATAGTTCAAGAGAGACACTTCATAAAATCATTAATTATTCACTTTTTTTCTTTCACAGTAAGCAGTTCATGATAAGGATCTTTAGCAAATACACTTAATATTTATAGTTTCGAAATGACCACTCTTCTTGACTATCATTCAATTTTCATTTTAAGGTAACTGGCTCTTAACCACAAACTCGCCGTTTCACGTCTTGTTAATTGAGAGTAGAAATAATTTTATTATATTATTTAAGAACATTAAAAACACTTTTATTTGTTTAACCAAGAAAAAAAAAAAAGAATTGAGAATCCAACATGAGCAAGACAGATTCTTCATATCCTCTAGTCTCTCTTGTATTCCTGTAGAGGGCGCTTAATTCCTCAATTATATTTTTAAACTGTTCAAAAGTTTGGTCTTCGCCGAGATCTCCGTTGTGGCTCGTTACAAGTACCTGTAATCATTCATAAACAAGATAATGATTGCCTAGTAATGCAGTGTGAATACAAAAATATTTAACTAAACGAGACATATTTACATGATCATTAATGTTTAATGTCACAAGTTAATTTAAATTGTTTTTCTTAATTTTGTATAAACTTGGAGTCGGCGATATGTTAACCAAATGATTATATATGTGTGTTTCTCAATTACTCGAAACTTGAATTTTATATTAGATGTACTACAACTTTTATATGAATATTTTGGTCTTTTAAACAGATGGATAAATCGTGAGTCGTTGGGAACAAAGATAAAAATATTACAATGTTTATACGTACAATCCGCGAGCCGTTCCTCGAGCATCGAAATCTGTTCGCTCAATGAGTGAACCCTCTCCCATGGAGAACCGTAGAAGGGATATGTATAATCTTTGGTGTTGCCCTGTAGGGCTGAAGAATAACTTGGCGCTTCTGTGCTTTTCTCGGTCATGGACGACACCGATTCAGCTATCTTCTGCACGCGATATTCCAGGTCTGTCAGATTGTGCTGTTCTTGCATCTAGAAAATGAAGCAAAATATAAAAAATATCATCACATCTAGAAAGAAAATATTCAGTTAGATACAAAATTATCATCCCTTTAACGAATAAAATATACAGTTGGATACAGCATTATCATCCCTTTAACGAATAAAATATACAGTTGGATACAGCATTATCATCCCTTTAACGAATAAAATATACAGTTGGATACAATATTATCATCCCTTTAACGAATAAAATATTCAGTTGGACAAATTATCATCCCTTTAACTAAAATATTCAGTTTGACACGCCATTATCATCTATTTAACAAAGAAAATATTCGGTTAGACACGCCATTATTATCGCTCAAACGTAAAAAAAAACATTCATGTTTTTACTTTAAGCCTTCAGGATCAATTATACCATGCTTTCACTTTAGGTAATGAGGGCCAATATTGACAATTTGTATTTTAGGTTTTGGAGGGCCAATATTACCGTATTTTAATTTATGAAGGCCAATACTGACATTTTTTTGTTTTAGGTTTTTGGGAACCAATATTATTATGTTTAAGTTGTAAGGGCCAATATTGACTCGCTTTAATTTTATTTTTGTTTAGCCAATATTAACATGTTATTAATCTACATCGTTGACTAACAACGCTTTCATCGCGTTTATATTTCGAATTCTATGAGATGTGAGATAAACCTGGTAACAAACTATTATCTAATATTTTAAATGACTCCTGTCTATAAATAATTTAAATTTTATAAACTATTCTATTATGTTGTAATATTGGTTTTCATTTCAGATCTTAAATTCAAAGCTAACAAAACATTTTGAAAACAATGTTTCAGTTTATATACATTTTGACAGGTTTTATCAAGGCCAACATTCTATGAACAAAAGGCTTACTTCGGATATTCAGTATAAAAAACAGAGAGAAATGTAACAATTTAGCCTACTATTGCGAGTTAGAAGTTTAGCCGAAATTATTAGGTCTTTTCAGGTTTCACCCCTTTCACAGATTTTCTGAGGAGGAATTAGTTGGATTATTTTATCATTATTATTCTAACCTGAAAGATGTTTACCAATCTTTCTATTGGTCATTACTTGTCATGAAATGTATTATATACAAATGTTAAAGCAAGTGAAATAAAATATTGGAAATATGGAAAGTGTCGAAAATGAAAAATAGATGAAGTTAATAGCTTAAATTGAAGTGACGGGAAGTAATATAATCTAAAAGTGAAACTAGCAAAACTAACTGAAATTTCAAAATAAAAAGTGCCTAAGTTTGAAAGATAAAAAAAAACTATTGAATATTTAAATAACTTGAAACTCACAGAGTTTGACAGATGATATAAAAAAAAAGATTGGCATATTGAAACAGAGAAATCATAAATAGAATCTGACAGATAACAGTAGAATTGACTCGTCTAAAGAGAATGAAAATGCCTAGAGTTTGACACGTGACAGCAAAACTGACACAGCTAAACAGAAGGCACAGTCCTAGAGTTTGGTATGTATTTATAAAAATAATTAACTTAAAAAGTGGAAATTATACTAGAGTTTGACAAGAGCCAATTAAAAAGAATGAAATAATGGTGCGAATCAGAACTGTTAGGATTTTAAAATACAAAATCACGATTGGCAAATCGAATGAAACAGTGTGAAGCATGACCGATATAAAACACGAGGGAATCCTCAATAACCGCGGCACTTGAAGTTCTTTTAGGCAGGATTAGAGTAAATTCATTTATGAGACTTTTTTCCCCTTTTTTGTGCGCCAGCAGTAGTAAAGTAGTAAGCGGTGCGCGCGTATACCCGATTCGATTTTATTATTAATCAGGATATCTACCAGTCTACCCTTTTAGCTCATAGCTCCGTCACCTCTTGACTGATTTGAGATCTAATTACAGTTTTGGACTCAGGATGTCAAAACCTTTCGATTGATATATTTGACCACGCCCAAGGTCTCATGGATTAATTTACTCCAATCCTGCCTAAAATAATTTCAAGTTGAGGATAAACTAGTAGATATCCGGATAAGTAATAAAATCGAATCGGGTATAAGCGCGCCCCACGCTTGGTATTGCTGGCGCACAAAAATATAGCTACCGTATTTTCCGGAATATAAGACGCACCGGTGTATAAGACGCACCCTTATTTTGAAGACAAAGTTTTGGGGAAAAAAGCTACAGTCGCATTTGAAAGGTTTTTATTGAACAAAAATTAAATTTGATACTTTAAAAATTCGTATATATTGTTCTAAACATAAAAGAGCTCAAAACATCAAAATAAGAAAATACCGTAAATCAAAAAAAGGTTTACTGTTATTTAGTTTGGTTCAAAACCTACAAAATCTTCATTGCTTTCACTGTAATTGTTTTTTTTTATTATTTAGGGAACATTATAAATAGTTATGTTTTAAAAGAAAAAAACTAGTATTGATATAAATAACATATTCAATTGAACTAAACTATGCATGGCTATTTAAATATATTTACACATGGCTTGTGTGTATATCGTATATATATACATTATTCATACCTTCGGTGTATAGGACGCAAGCAGATTTTGACATCATATTTTGGGGTAAAAAGTGCGTCTTATAGACCGAAAAATACGGTAATAAAAGGGTCTCATAGATTAATTTACTCTAATCCTGCCTAAAAAATTTTCAATTGCCGCGGCTATTGGTTTTTGTTCACTTTATTTTGGGAGAGAAGTTAGGTATGATAAACATTTCTGACACTGATTATGTACCTCAGAGTAAAATGTCAAGAATAAGAAAAAGAGGCGACAGAGTGAAACTCCACAAGAAAGGAAAACACGCCTTCACAGACAACGAAAAAGACAAACTGCTCATAGTCAAGTGGAGACTGAGCAAGAGCGACAATTTGGCAAAGACGTGACTGCATCCACCATGTAGAGGGCCGTTCACAAGAAACATCAAGAACGCGTGACCTTCGTTTAATCCTTTCTGCTTAAAAATAGCTAAACATCGGCCTTCTGTTCAGGTAATACCCGGCAATTCCGGGTAAGGACGGCTAGTAATAAATAAGGAACAGAGCCAGGGCTAGCTAAGTTTAACTGGCGCCCTAGGCAGAAATGAAGGCTGTGTCCTTACTCAAACTAGGATTAAATCTAATTGTTACTATTCGTTATTAATGGGTGAATATAATGAGCTTAGCTATTAAAGCTCTGCTTGTAATAATACTTGATTTGATCACATCTTAGCTTAAAATCAAGGTTAATTAGTATAACCTATACCATTGCAAACAGTTTATACAATATCAACTATTGTACAATATACAACATTCAGTATGTTATCATCATCATTATATTATTGTTCATAAGTTAACGTTATTTTCGAACTCACTAAATTTTACTTATCCATTTCTATTGCAAGTAATTCAGACTTCAGAATTTGTAAATGTTGATTCAGTTTCTATAATTTACTGATATATTTTTATATATGTATTTCACACTCATATAGCCAACATAACTCCACCGAAACTTCTAAAGCTCAACAAAGTACAGCTGTAACACTACCTGAAGCCAAAACGTTTTTTTTTATTTAATTTCTGTCTGTTTTGAATGGTGTAACACTAGCTCCACCGAATCTTCGAAACCTCGACAAATCTCACTGAAGACTCGGCCAAGAAGAAGGGATCAACAAGTTGAATGCCCAGAATGTTGGGTTCTGATTACAAAAGAACTCGACTTGGCAAATGTTTGGAGCAGTTTAAAGCAGACCAAGACAAATTATGACTCAGGATGAAACATCGACTTGGTAAATGTTTGGAGCAGTTTAAAGCTGTCGAAGACAAATTATGACTCAGGATGAAACATCGACTTGGCAAATGTTTGGAGCAGTTTAAAGCAGACCAAGACAAATTATGACTCAGGATGAGACATGGGTTCACCAATTTAATCTTTAAACTAAACAGCAGAGCAGGCAGTGAGAAAATACATAAGTCATAGTCAACATTCTCATGGGGTGATCATGACTGACTACCTCTCAAAAGACAAGACCTTCAATGGAAAGTAATTTGCTGATGAACTGCAGTGGTTACGTTAAGCCATTAAGAACAGGCATCGTGGAAAGTTGAGTCGAAAACGCTGCTTCTCCAGAACAATATGTCGTCCCATACAGCTCACATTGCAGTGACCTAATGCGGCTTGGAACTGCTTTCCAACCAGTCTATTCACCTGTTCTGACTCCCTCAGTCTTTCTTGCCTGTTTTCCAAGTTGAAGAAAGAACTTCGTGGAAATAATTTTGATGATGATGATGAAGTGATCACAGCGGTCGAGATGTTTCTGAACATACAAGACAAAAGTTCTATAAAACGAGTATACCCAAGCTGCAACAGTGCTGGACCAAATACAACGATGTCAAGGAAATATTGTTTTAAGACTTTGCTGATGATGGAATAAGTGTATTACGAAACATTTGAGCTCGTCTAAATAAAACACTAAATTAATTAAAAAATAAATAAATTTGATTAAAAGCTAGCACTGTGACAACATGCTTAAAACTGAACATAGACCTTAATTTTCTCATATATTCATTTCATTAAACTGTGACGAAGCTTACAAACAAGTGAGTACCCGATATATACAGCTCTTTATTTTCTATAATAAACCGAAACATGACAACGGACTTATGTCATTTTAAACAAAATTACTGTATTCTGTGCTTTAAAATGGCACCATTACGAGCTCTCAAATATTTGGTGCCCTAGACAGCCCCTATGTGGCCTCTCCTTAATGTCGGCGGGCCTGACAAAGAAGTACTGCGTAAAACAAAAAAGCAAAGAGAACAAAAAAACACGAAAACAACAGCGGTATACTGAAATACAGAAGATATTCTAGGTTAAACCATGATAACAATACTATATACTAGAATAAAGAAGAACTACTAAATTCAAAAACACGACAACAATAGCGGTATACTGAAATACAGAGGGTATTCTAGGATAAACCATGATAACAATACTATATA